AAATAAAGAGTAAGGAATCCAAGTATTTTTCTATAAAAAGCCAAGAAATCATGAAAGAAGAGAGCAAGAGAAGAAAGGAACAGAGAGGAACTACAAAACAACCATAAAACATGTAACAAAATGGCAATAAATACATGCATACCAATAATTACTTTGAATGTAAATGGATTAAATATTCCAGTCAAAAGACATGGATGACAGAATGGATAAAAAAACAAGACCCATCTATATGCTGCCTATAAAAGACTCATTTCAGACCTAAAGACACATGCAGACTGAAAGTGAAGGGATGGAGAACCATTTATCATGCAAATGGAAGTGAAAAGAAAGCCTGAGTACCAACTTATATTGGACAAAATAGACTTTAAAACAAAGGCTTCATGAAATTAGGGACAAAGAAAGACAATGTGTAATCAATCATAAAAAGCAGAAAATCTCCAAGGAACTATGGCTTTGAATATCAGACCAGATGGACCTAACAGATATATTCAGAACATTCCATCCTAAGACAGCAGAATACAGATTCTTTTCAAGTGCACATGGAATGTTGTCCAGAATAGATCCCGTTTTAGGCCACAAAACAATTCTCAACAAATTCAGAAAGATTGAAGTAATAAAATACATCTTTTCTGAGCACAACACTATGAAACTAGAAATCAACCACAAGAAAAAAACATGGAAAGCACATAAATACATGGAGGTTAAATAACATGCTATTAAACAATGAATGGGTCAACCAAGAAATCAAAGATGAAATTAAAAAATACTTGAAGACAAATGAAAATGCAAACACAACAGTCCAAAATCTGGGATATAACAAAAACTGTTCTAAGAGGGAAGTTTATAGCAATACAGGCCTACCTCAGAAGCAAGAAAAATCCCAAGTAACCTAACCACACATCTAAAGGAACTAAAGAAAGAACAACAAACAAAACCCAAAACCAGCAGAGGGAAGGAAATAATAAAGATTAGAGCAGAAAAAAAACAAAATAAAAACTAAAAATACCAACAAAACAGCTCAGTGAAACCAGGAGCCAGTTCTTTGAAAAGATCAAAAAATTGATAAACCTTTAGCTAGATTCATTAAAAAAAGAGAGAGAGAGAGAGAGAAAGAGGACTCAAAACAATAGAATTCAAACTGGGAGAGATAACAACCAACACCACCGGAATACAAAAGATTGTAAGAGAATATTGTGAAAAATTATATGCTAACAAATGGGACAACCTAGAGGAAATGGATAAATTCCTAGAACATATAAACTGCCAAAATTGAATCAAGAAGAACTAGAAAATTTGAACAGATCGATTACCAGCAATGAAATTGAATCACTAATCAAAAAACTCCCAGCAAACAAAAGTCCAGGACTAGATGCCTTCACAGGTGGATTCTACCAAACATTTAAAGAAGAGTTAATACCTATTCTTCTCAAACTATTACAAAAAATAGAAGAGGAAGGAAAGCTTCTTAATTCATTCTACGAAGCCAGCATTACTCTGATACCAAAACTAGATAAAGACACTACAAAAAAAGAGAACTACAGGCCAATATCTCTGTTGAACATAGATGCAAACATCCTCAACTAAATATTAGCAAACCAAACCCAATGATACTTTAAAAAATCACGCACCACAGGGGCACCTGGATGGCTCAGTCGGTTAAGTGTCTGACTTCAGTTCAGGTCATGATCTCACAGTTCGTGAGTTTGAGCCCCGCATCGGGCTCTGTGCTGACAGCATAGAGCCTGGAGCCTGCTTTGAATTCTGTGTCTCCCTCTCTCTCTGTTCCAACCCTGCTCATGCTCTGTCTCTCTCTCTCTCCTTCAAAAATAAATAAAAACATTTAAAAAAATTTAAAAAAATCATGTACCACAATCCAGTGGGATTTTTTCCTGGGATGCAAGAGTGGTTCAGTGAGATTCATCATATCATTAAAAGAAGGGATAAAAAATCATTTCAATAGATGCAGAAAAAGCATTTTCTAAAGTAGAAGATCCATTCATGATAAAAAAACAAAATTCAAAAATTAGGATTAGAGGGAACACCGCAACATAGTAAAGGCCATATATGAAAACCCACAGCTAACATTTCACTCAGTGGCAAAAAATGGAGAGCGTTTTTCCCCTAAGGTTAAGAACAAGATGGGGAAGTCCACTCTTCCCGCTCATATTTAACAAGTACTGGAATGCCTATCCATAGTGATCAGAAAAGAAGAAGGAAGAAAAGGCATCCAAATTGGTAAGGAAGAAATAAAACTTTCACTATTTGCAGGCAACATGATACTATATATAAAAAACCTTAAAGACTCCATCTAAAAACTACCAGAACTGATAAATGAATTCAGTGAGGTTGTAGGGTACCAAATCAACATACAGAAATTCATGGTATTTTTATTTAGTAATAGTGAAGCAACAGAAAGAAAAGTTAAGATAGCAATCCCATTTACAGTTGCACCAAAGGTAATAAAATGCCTAAGAATAAATTTAACCAAGGAGGTGAAAGACTTGTATTCTATAAGATACAGAATACATATTTTTAGAAAACTATAAAATGTTGGTAAAAGATATTTAAGATGACACAAACAAATGGATGACACAAACTGATGCTCATGGGTCAGAAGAATAAATATTGTAACAGTGTCCTTACTACCCAAAGCAGTCTACAGATTTAATGCAATCCCTATCAAAATATCAACAACATTTTTCACAGAACTATAACAAATAGGCCTAAAATTTGCATGGAACCACAGAAGACTCCAAATAGCCAAAACAATCTTGAAAAAGCAAAGCAAAGCTGGAGGTGTCACAATTCCAGACTTCAAGTTATTACAAAGCTGTAATAATCAAAATAGTATGGTACTGGCACAAAAATAGGCACATAGATCGTTGGAACAGAATAGGGAGCCCAGAAATAAGCCCATGTTTATATGGTCAATTAATGTTTGAGAAAGGAGGGAAGTTGAAAAAAAAAATTAAAAAAAAAATAAAAAAAAAAGGGGCGCCTGGGTGGCACAGTCGGTTAAGCGTCCGACTTCAGCCAGGTCACGATCTCGCGGTCCGTGGGTTCGAGCCCCGCATCAGGCTCTGGGCTGATGGCTCAGAGCCTGGAGCCTGTTTCCAGTTCTGTGTCTCCCTCTCTCTCTGCCCCTCCCCCATTCATGCTCTGTCTCTCTCTGTCCCAAAAATAAATAAACGTTGAAAAAAAAAATTTTTTTTTTAAAAAAAAGAGAAAGGAGGAAAGAATACACGATGGGAAAAAGCCTCTTCATAAATGGTGTTGAGAAAACTAAACAGCAGCATGCCAAAGAATGAAACTAGACCACTGGCTTACACCATACACAAAGATAAATTCAAAAGGACCTAAATGTGAGACATGAAACCATAAAAATCCTAGAAGAGAGCACAGGCAGTAACTTCTCTGACATCGGACATAGCAACTTTTTCTAGATTTGTCTCCCAAGGCAAGGGAAGAAAAAACAGAAACAAAACTGTTGCGACTACATCAGATAAAAAGCTTCTGTACAGCAAAGGCAATAATGAACAAAACTAAAAGCTTACAGAGTGGGAGAAGATATTTGCAAGTGACATATTTGATAAAGGGTTAGTATCCAAAATATATAAAGAACTTATATAACTCAACACCCAAAAAACAAATAATTCAATTAAAAAGTGGGCAGATGAGAGGCACCTGGGTGGCTCAGCTGGTTGAATGTCCGACTCTTGGTTTCCACTCAGGTCATGATCTCAGGTTCATGGGATCAAGCCCTGCATCAGGCTCTGTGCTGACAGTGTGGAGCCTGCTTAGGATTCTTTCTCCCCCTCTCTTTCTGTCCCTTCCCCGCTCGTGCTCTCTCTCAATATAAGTAAATAAAGATTTTTTTAAACAGTGAGCAGACGACATAAACAGACATTTCTCCAGAGAAGACATCCAGATGGTCAACAGATACATGAAAAGATGCTCACATCACTGATCATCAGGGGAATGCAAATCAGAACCACAATGAGATATCAACTCACACTTGTCAGAATGGCTAAAATCAATAACACAAGAAACAAAAGGTGTTGGTGTTCCTATTTCTCCAAATAGGAACCCTCTTGCACTGTTGGTGGGAATGCAAACTGGCACAGCCACTTTGGAAAACAGTATGGAGATTCCTCAGAAAGTTAAAAAATGGAGCTACCCTACAATCTGGTAATCACAGTACTGAGTATTTGCCCCTCAAAATGGAAAAACATTAATTTAAAGGCATACATGCACCCTTATGTGTATTGCAGCATTACTTACACTAGCCAAATTATGGGAGCAGCCCAAGTGTCCATCAACTGATGAGTGAATAGAGAAATGGTATATACATATAATGGAATATTATTTAGCCACAAAAAAGAATGCAGTTTTGCCATCTGCAACAACATGAATGGAGCTAGAGAGTATAATTAATGCTAAGTAGCCAGTCAGAAAAAGACAAATGCTATATTATTTTACTCATATGTGGAATTTGGGAAACAAAAACAAATGATCAAAGGAAAAAAAGGAAAGAAAGAGAGACAAACCAAGAAGTAGAAACTTAACTAAGCAGAGAACAAACTGATGGTTACCATAGAGCAGGTGGGTTGTGGGCGTTGGGTGAAACACATGAAGGGTATTAAGAGTACACTTACCATGATGAGCACTGACTAATGTACAGAACTGTGGAGTCACTATATTGTACACCTGAAACTAATATGACACTGTATGTTAACTATCCTGGAATTAAAAGAAAAAACTTAGTGGAAGAATTTGTATTATTAAAGAAATGGCTGTCAACATTTACGAAGCATTCAGATTTTTAAAGCTTGTACTTCTAAAGGATAAGATTTTATGTAAATTTTGAAAAATCTTATTTTAAATGATAAGGTACTATCCAAAATGTATTTGTATATTAACAAAGTCAAGTTTGGTTTTTTTTTTTTTTTTTGTTTTTTTTTTAAGGTGAAAAATTCTTCACATTGTGCTCTTTTCTTTAGGTTTATTGTAGGGAAGGAAGAAATTCCCACACATTCTTACTCACCAGAAGCGGCATATGCAAAAGTGGAACAGAAGACAGAGAAACATGAGGAAAAGCCAAGAAGAATGAATGTAATTGCTCTAATCAGGAAACTTGTGGATTCAGTGTAAGTTCTTTATCTTGATACTTAGCACACTTTGTCACTGTTTTCTATGATATTTGTACCATGTCAAAGTGTTTTTGTTTTCTTTTCAGTGATGATGTATTATTTTTTTGCAAAAAACAATGCATAGAGTTTTATAAAAGGCACATAATAGCAAGTCAATGTTATTTATTATTTTTGTCTGGACTATAGACCATCATATGGTCTTTTTAATAGATTTATATGAACTTATAATAGTTTTCTGTGTCTAACTAGGCAGAGTTGCAGGAGGCCGGAATGGGGAACTTTGGGAAACGGATTAATATGTGCTAATCAAATATGCTAAGTGTAGGAAAGAGAAAGAAAAGTTCTGGGAGAGATTCAAGAAGATATAGGTACAAGGAGCAAACCTTAAGTAAAGGGTTTTGTTTTTGTTTTTGTTTTTGCAAGAGTGGAAATGTTCAGGGCTTTAGAAATGGAATAAGATAACTTTATTTGTATATTATACAAATAAGTCTGAATTTCATAAAAATATTTGTATTTCTAGTATAGATATTGAAGAAAATTAATGATTTAAAATTAGAACATTAGTTAATAAAAAGAATCTTGGTAGTGATATTTGAGAGAGTATCGAATGAATAACCAATATAGAAAGTTAGACATCGGTTGTAGGAAGCTGAAGTGGGAATCAGAAGACCTATGTTAGACTCTCATTTTACCCCTTGCTGACTTTGTGACTTTGGGCAAGTGATTTAACCACTCTGGATCCTAAAGTGCTCATCTGTTAACTTGGGTTAATGATCTTTGTTAAGGAATGTTGTATGCATTAGATGAAATAACACGTGAGTGGCCTCACATACGTGAGCACAGTGTAGATACTCAGAATTTTTACTGAATTTAAAGAGTTTGTCTTCATTTTAGTATACACCACATGCGGAAGGTAAGAGGCAAGGAAGGGATAACAGATGGCAGGAATAATTGTGGTAGTGAACTTTTTAAAAGAATTTTATGTATATCTTTTTTTCTTGTTTTGATTTTTTCATCATGATAAGTATACTCCTTAATCCCCCATTACCTGTTTCATCCATCCCCCATTCCCCCATTCACCTCCCCTCTAGTAACCATCAGTTTGTTCTCTATAGTTAAGAGGCTGTTTTTTGGTTTTTCTCTTTTTCCTTTTTTTCCCCTTAGCTCATTTATTTTTTTGTTTCCTAAATTCCACATATTTGCAATATCATATGGCTAAATAATATTGCACTGTGTGTGTACACACGCACGCACATACATACATACCGCCTCTTCTTTATCCATTCATCGATGAACACTTGGGCTGCTCCCATAATTTGGCTACTGTAAATACCATTGCAATAAACATAGAAGTGCATATATCCCTTTGAATTAGTGTTTTTGTAATTTTGGGGTAAATATCCAGTGGTGTGATTGGTAGTGAACTTCTTAAGTAAGTTCAAAATAGTTATGAATCACCTAAGTGGAGAAAAGAGAGAGGGAATCCCTATTCATGGAAATCATGTTCACCAAGAATCAGAGGGAAGTGCAGAGAATGTATTATGTGGATGAATGATACCTTGGGTATCAGAGCTAATCAGGTCGTGGTAGAACTTGTCAGAGTACCCACTGCTGTGAAAGCAGATGCAGGGTAATGCATAAGGAGAGCAGATAAGACAGGAGATGGGGAGTCCAGGTTTTGAGAAGTTTTAAGAACAGACTAAGGAAAGATTAAAACAGTATAGCTGCTATCAGAATTTAACTTCACTAGCAAAGAGAGTTTAACAATCTCTGTGTAGTTCCAGTAGCACTGGCTGAAGAATGTCTTTGAAGAGGACACTTAGAAGTATGAAGAGTGATGGTTTACATACGACCACCCTTCTCTGATTTACCTCTTTTAGGCTCCAGCTTTAAGCCCTCAACTTCACATGGCCAGACATGTCCCATCATTCTAATGACATAAGGGCTACGGTCAGTAGGAACTACTGCTGTCATCCTTGTGTATGAAAGGCTGCCTGCATACTCCAGCTGTGACTCAGAATTGGATTTCCCAAAAGGTTTTGCTAATCAGTTTGCAAATGGAATTAGAGAGACCTTGAGCCAGAATATTACTCTACAAATTATTATCAACAAGAAAGTTAATATAACCATGAAGATAATTAACTGCAGTCTGCAAGAGTTATAAAGACTACTCATTTTGGAACATGAATTCTTCAGAGGGAAAGGGGGAGAGCTAGACCCATGTTAGATATGTTACTTACTTTTTTTTTTTTCAACGTTTTTATTTATTTTTGGGACAGAGAGAGACAGAGCATGAACGGGGGAGGGGCAGAGAGAGAGGGAGACACAGAATCGGAAACAGGCTCCAGTCTCCGAGCCATCAGCCCAGAGCCTGACGCGGGGCTCGAACTCACGGACCACAAGATCGTGACCTGGCTGAAGTCGGACGCTTAACCGACTGCGCCACCCAAGCGCCCCTTTACTTACTTTTTTAAGCCTCGAGTGAATGTATATATAGTCCTGGAGTCAGCATCTTCAGTGTCTTGAACAGTAGTCTTCCTTGCAGAAAGGTTTACTAAACACAAGAGGACCAAGTGGTTTGTAGTCAAATCACAAATAACCTACTTTTGAATTCCCACATGATCTATTTCTATATTTATTTTTAAAATTGAATTTTGAATTCTAATACTCTATCATGTTTCTTTTCCAGATGTTTTCTTTCAAATATAATTAAGTATACATTCCAGTAACCTGAGCACTTTCCATTATGATTTTTGCTCAAGTACTGACTTCATGGATGATTTATGACTGTTATGCTCTACAGTAAGCAACTTAAAGCTTCCAAAAGATTTGGCAGAGTATAGAGATAATATATACATATTTTTCATACTTAGTCACAAATATTTACCAATGTTTTTTCTGTTCCACATTTAAGTATTTTGACTTCAGTCACATATTTTATGCACTGTGTCAAATGCTGAACTGCAAAGAAAAAAAATCTGTTATATTTGCTTTTTTATGTCCCAAGAAACCAAAAGATGTATGCATTTAAATACAAGTAGGTAATATTTTCTCCTTTTTAGGTTACAGAGTTTTAAGCACATATATACACATACACATATATAAACACATAATTTGTTATTTGTGTTTTATTTCAGATGTAAGCATGGACCAAGGCATAGATGTTGCAAACACTATGAAGATAATTGCATCTCTTATTGCATTAAAGTAAGTATATGAAAGTATCACTTTATTCGCTGCAGGAAATATGTATAGAAATAACTTTATAATTAAAACATGATTTCAAAATAAATGGAAAAATTGACAGTAATTGCTATTATGCTTTGCATTTGACTTGAGAAATAAGGAATTTGTGAAAATTAGGTAACAATTTAGCTTTTAGTATTCACTTACCAGATCCTTTGTTAAATAATTTTAAAATCCGCTTATTTAAAAATTAGTGTTAAAATTTCAAAGCAGAAGAGAAGCTGAAGCAACCATAGCAAAAAAGACAGAAAAGGAAAGTTATTAAAATCTGTACTTTGTAATGTATTCTCATTAGAATACATTTTAGATCAAGGTCCCTGGAGTATGCTGTGTACTAGTGGGTGAGCAGTCTCATACATACACTGTGCACAAGCTGGTACGGTGGCATTTGGTGTTGGACTTGTAAAGTTGTTATGTTTTTTAAGGCATGGATGTAACTGGAGCATGTCCACAGTTGCTCTATATGAAGGAAGTTAGCTATGCCCACTGGCATAAATTCTTCACTCCGTAATAGTGTAGTAGAATGTCTCTCCTCGCCCATCCTCCATTCTGTGCCTGTCATCCCCCCATCCTCCATTGCCACCAACTCTGGGACGGAAGTTATTTTAATTGCAGTTAGTCTGGCATAGGTGGCACCATCTGCTACAAGTTCTTTGGTTGTGGATGGGGCTCTCACAATCCTGATACTTCAAAAAGTTTATGTTCTTTCTTATAATGTCTTATCCCCACTCAGTTGATGATGAGAAGAGCAGAGTTGTACAGCATCCCCAACAGGTAGCCTTCCGGGGGACCCTCGGTGGCTCAATAGGTTAGGTGTCTGTCTTCAGCTCAGGTCATGATCTCACAGTTCGGTTTGTGGGTTCAAGCCTTGCATTGGGCTCTGTGTTGACAGCTTGGAACCTGGAGCCTGCTTTGGATTCTGAGTCTCCCTTTCTTTCTGCGCACCCCCCCCCCCGCCTCAAAAATAAATTTAAAAAGGTTAAATTTTTTTTAAATAATAATAATAATTAAAAAAAAAAAGACAGCCTCTCAGCAGTCATTCTGGGAGAGAGGGATTGTATCACATTAGTGCTTATGAACATGAGTGCCTGTGATCTAATGTTGATGGTGGCATTTGCCTAAGCCAACACTTACCTTAGAGTCCCCAAGGATATGACTAGAGGTTAAAGCAGTAGAGTATTTTTTCACTTGTGCAGTGGTTTCTGATACACTGCTTCTAAATCTGATTTTCTGCCCCACTTTTAAAATGGGGAGGAGAGCAACATTGCTGGCAGCCTCAGGGTCTGCCAGCTCCCAGAGAGTCATTATTTCCTCCAACTGGACGTACTGCTAATTCAAGGGAAGACTTCAGGAGGGTAACCAAGAGAAATATTCTGATTAAATCAGATGTATTTGATAAAGTTTGGGAAGAGGGGAAGTGATATTAAAAATTATCTGAGAATGTTACGGAGAATTACTGAGGATTGAAGAAATCTAGTCATTGTGTCAGCAAATGTGTACCAATACTATAAACCTGGCAATTTTCATATAAATTGGAGTAATATGTCTGTGAATGTAAAATTATTTGGAGACCTGTAGGTGAGGAATTTACACCATAAATATAGTGAATATATTTTGACAGTGTACCTCATTATTCCATCAGCTCAGTTACACCACATGTTAAATCATATCCCTGAGGAAATACACAAATTACTTTCCCCTCAACTCACTATGCTCCATTCACACTTTTTGTTGGTTCCTCATACCTGCCAGTCTCTGTTTTGTCTTTGTGCTTTCTGTCCAAGCTATCTGAAATGTTTTCATCATGCCAGCTCCTCTTTTGTCTGTTTAAATGACACATCCTCCATCGCTTTCCCTTATCACCCAATTTAATATAGGCTGCCTGTTAATTTCCCTCCTAGAGTCTTGATTATTTCCTGCATAAACTTACACTAATCTGTAGTTATTTTGTTTGTTCACTGACTTATGTGCTCCTCCTCATGAGCATGAAACTTCATAAACATTCATAAACATGAATTTTTAAAATACTGTTCTTTTAGATAACATTTGGTTTTGTGCTAATAAGAATTTTTCAGTCTGTCAGTGAGAAGTGATGTTTAAATTTCATTTCCCTAAATACTGAAATGAAATTGACCAGCACTAGTCATCCTCTCTGTTCTTTTTTGCCCTATAAATAGTTGGAGGTGATATGGGAAAATGTTGGCAGCAAGTATGCCTTTGTAGTGCATTTGCTTTTTCAAGTTTTGCTTAGTGTACCTTAAAAGCTACCGATTCTTAGAGATGTTTTGGCCTGACACAGTTGAGCATAGAAATAAAAACCTAGGTATAGTTTTTTTTTCTGGAAAATTCTTTTAACCTGATCATTTAAAAAGTTGATACCAAAGGTCTAAAAATAAAGTTATTTTTTTCTGTCAAAAGAATTCCTACTTACACCAGTTATTAAGAAGAGTACATTATTGGGGCGCCTGGGTGGCTCAGTCAGTTAAGTAAGTGTCTGACTTCGGCTCAGGTCATGATTTCGTGGTTCGTGAGTTTGAGCCCCACGTGGGACTCTGTGATGACAGTTCAGAGTCTGGAGCCTGCTTCAGATTCTGTTTCCCTCTCTCTCTGCCCCTCCCCCACTCACACTCTATGTTTCTCAAAAATAAATAAACATAAAAAAAGAAAAAAAAAAGTACCCTGTTAAAATTTCCAAAACACATTGGTTTTGTAAACTATTTTTTTGGAATTTCATTGCTTTTGTTCCTAAAATTCAGTTGTGGTTTAGGAATCATAAATCCTGGTTATTGTTAACAGAATGTCAAGAAATGGAAGTTTGTTGCATAGACAAGTTTGGCCAGTGCTTGTGAGACTTCCAAGGTTTTGAAAATCAAAGAAAGTGTAATCACTGAAAAATTTTACCCTTATTTTAAGGTAATTGTTTTAAAATTATTTGAGGTCTTAGGACTTAATTTTGAAAATGCTTTGATATAAACTTGTGTTATTTATTTATTTATTTTTGAGTTCTGTTTTGATTCTAAACCAGTAAAATTTATATCTGTCGGACTTAAATATTTGGATGTAAATCAGAATTTTATCCCAATTTTCTCTAGGGTTTCATCAGAATGTTTAGCGTGGGATACTTGATCCAGTGCTGCCTCCGAATTCCCTCTGCATTTCGGCATCTGTTTACACAGCCATCCCGGCTATTTTCTCTCTTCTACAATAAAGAAAACTTCCAGCTCGGAGCTTTTCTGGGCTCTTTTGTTAGTATATACAAGGTAAGGCTTTCAGCAGAGGAGAGAAAAATGGGAAATAAATAACATGGCTATTATTAGAATGAGATATGGCCTTAACCCATCTATCATTTTTTAATGCTTCTTTCTGTTGTATTCATAAATGTTTTAATAAATGTTTTAATGTCTCCAAGTATATGTACAATATATTTTGGGAATTGAGGTTGAAAAAATTTCTTTTAAAATGTTATTTAATGTGCTTCAAAGTGTAGATATATTTGCATTTATATATAATATGAAAGATTTTCAAAGACTTACTTTTTTTTCAGTAATGTAGATACTGAAAATTTTAACTTATATTTCTAACATCAAAAATGATATTAATATATCTGGTCTCTTTGTTTTTCTTGATCATATTTACTGAACATAACATCATATGTTATTAATTTAAACATATTTCAGACCCTTTTAGCTGATATCAACACTTGATAGAGCCAGTAAAGATTTTCTGTTGTGACTTATGTAAGAAATGACTTGTTATCCCTCTTTGATATACTCACTATTCCTACTACACTCTCTCAAATAACCATTGTTAACATTCTTCCACTGTTTCTGCATGTTCCTATAAACATACCAGCACATGTATAAGCACACACCTAAACACATATGTAAGGATCATCCATGACATAGTATTCTGAAATTTTAAGTAATGGCCTTTTGTTTAATGGGGATCACTCATATATAAGTCATACTACTGACATTTTATTAAACATCTAAAATTTAGACTATAAACCTAAACGTAGTTTCCAAATGGTAAAATATGTTAACTAAGGTTGACCACACATTGTTTTTAAAGTGAAAAAAAAATAATAATAATAGTGCAGAGAAACTTGAATTCTGGAGTCATTTTGGGTAAGATGGTTATGTATCATTTTATGTAAAAGTTTATTTATATAAGGTACATATAGGGGAAGTATTTTTAAATGGAAAGGAGAACAGTAGTAGCAAATGGTAAGCTATAGTTAATTACTTGTTATGAAATATTACTAATATTGAAAATATTTTCAATAGTTTTGATTAGGAAACATTACTGTCTTTGAAAATACAAGAGTTAAATAGGACAGAATATTTGTAACTTTATATGTTCATATTCTTTTTCATTTCTTATGTCGTAGTGTTTATGTTTATTCTTAACATAAACCCTAAGTGTCGCATGTGGATTGTCTCCCAACATTTTTATCCCAAATTGGTTATTCTCCACCATCCAGCATATCTCAGATCATGTTTCATTTGTTTGCTTTAATTTCTGTTACTATTTATTTGCTCAGGTAATACAAACTAATGGTATTAAACTATAGAAAAATACAACCAGGTCAGAAAACCCCTTATAAAAAAAATGGTACAGTGTGTTCCAAAGCCATATGGGATTTAAAATAAAATTTTCAATGCCATTAACGTCTTTATAAGGATGTAATTGGGAGAAGGGCAGAGCAACAATTCATATTTCTTCAGTGTCTTCTCAGGGAATGGACTCTTTTTTCATTTTGTAATGTTCTTCTTTATTTCTGGTAATATTCCTTGCTCTGAAGTCTACAACGTTTGATATTAATATGGCTATTCCAGTTTTCCTTTGATTATATTTGATACTACATTGTTTCTGTCTTTTTACTTTAGTCTTAACTGTGTCTTCAGTTTAAAGGTTGATTCTTTTAGATGACATGTAGTTGGTTCTTCCTTTTTTATCCAATTTGATAATCTCTATTAATTGGTATGTTTAAGCTATTTACATTTAATGTACTTTTTGATAATGGTATAGTTTAAATCTACCTCTTGCTAATTGTTTCGTATTTTTTCCATTGTTTTTTTCCTTTTTATTCCTCCTGGATTTTTTTAAAAAAATTTATGTATTTAGTTTTTTATTTTTGTTTTTTGTATTTTTGTATTCTATCTTCACTCTTGGCTTACTATTTATACCTCTTTTTTAATTCAGTGACTGCCTTAACATTTATAATAAGCATTTTAAATTCATCAGTTATTGTTTTCAAATATTATGCCACTTCATGTATAGTGTATGACTCTTAGAATACTGTACCTCAAATTCCTCCTTCTCATCCTTTGTGGTATACATTTATCTTTTCATGTGTTATAAACCCCATGATCTATTGTTACCATTTTTGTTTTAGACCAGGAGTCAGAAAACGTTTTCTGTAATTGGCTAGATGATAATTGTTTCAAGCTTTGTGGCTGATATGGTTAGTCTCTGTCATAACTACTCTACTCTGCTGTTGTAGTGTGAAAGCAACCATAGACAATATATAAATAAAAGAGCATAGTTATGTTCTTTTTTTTAAAGTTTATTTATTTTTCAAAGAGAGAGAGAGCACAAGTGAGGCAAGGGCAGAGAGAGGGAGGAGAAAGAGAATCCTAAGCAGGCTCTGCACTGTCAGCCCAAAGCCCAACACGGGGCTTGAACTCATGAGCTGTGAGATCGTGACCTGACCCAAAATCAAGAGTTGGACGTTTAACCGACTGAGCCACCCATAGCTATGTTCTAATATAACTTTGTCACACTTCAATTAGAATTTCATTTTATTTTTACATGTCTCAAAATATTACAATTTTATTTTATCCATTGAGAAGTGTAAAAACATTCTTAGCTCATGAACCACATACAAACAGTTGGCAAGCCAGATTTGGCTAGTGGGCCATATTTTATGATCACTGCTTTAGATAGTTATTTTATTATTATTATTATTATTATTATTATTATTATTATTATTAATTTTTGATAGAGAGAGAGAGACAGAGTGCTAGCAGAAGAGGGGAAGAGAGAGATGAAGACACAGAATCTGAAGCAGGTCCAGGCTCTGAACTGTCAGCACAGAGCCCGATGCGGGGCTCAAACTCATGAACCATGAAGTCATGACCTGAGCTGAAGTTGGATGCTTAAACGACTAAGCCACCCAAGCACCCCTTCTTTGATAGTTCTTTTGATAGTTCTTCTTTTGATAGTTTATTTTTATATAAAGAAATGATATTTAAAAAAATGTCTTCTAAGTTTATCTTCATTTTGCCATCTTCAGAGCTCCTCATATCTTTTTTCAGATCTAAATGATACTATATTCCTTCTGCCTGCAAAATTACCTTTTACCATTTATGAAAATTCATCACTTACAGAGCTACTATGTGGGTCTCAGTATTTATCTACCGGAAAAAGTCTTTATTTCACCATTATATTGAAAAATACTTGCTCTGAGTATGGAATTCTGGCTTAGAGTTATAGTGTATTTGATTTTTCTTCTTATTACAGTCGGAGTGATTCTACATCTAGGCAAAGAAAAATTTATGCCTTCATTTTGGAAAATAATTACAATAAAAATATTATGTGTTTTTTTTATTTTGGAAAATAATTACAATAAAAATATTATGTGTTTTTTTTTAAAGTTTGTTAAATTTATTTTGATACAGAGAGAGTGCACAAGCAGGGTAGGGACAGAGACAGAGGAGAGAGAGAGAGAGAATACCAAGCAGGCTTTGCACTGTCAGCACAGAACCCTATGTGGGACTTGATCTCACGAACCGTGAGATCACGAACTGAGCCAAAATCAAGAGTCAGATGCTTAATTGACTGAACCACCCAGGTGCCCTGACAATACAAATATTATGTATAATTTCTTAATAGAGTCTATCCAGAACAATAACTTTATAACAGGTTATTGTTGATAGTTTTCCAACTCATATATTTAAAATAGTTTGATTTAGATCACCAATTTGCCATCAAGGTCTGCTAGTGACTCACTCATTATAGATGTTACATGCATGTTTTCTAGAAATGAAACAACTGAAGTCACTGCATTTTCTTCTTGATGTAGGGTACTAGTTGCTTCCTGCGCTGGGTCAGAAACCTGGATGATGAATTGCATGCTATTATAGCTGGTAAGGCAATGATAACACAAGAGTTACTGCTGTTGCATCAATCCGTGGTAGGAATGACTCAGAAATAGTTTCCAAATTCATCTGATTTCTGTATAACTCTTTTTCTCCATAATAGAATCCCTACTGAGGGACCAGTCCACACATTTTGTATGCGCCAAGTTTAACATACCCAGGCATTCTTGCCATCTGATGTTTTGAAATGGCAATATAATGACTTGGGTATCTGGCCTGCTACAGGCCAGGAATCCTAGGGAATGTGTTATAAAAGAACATAAAACTCAAAAAATTTGGTGACTAATGGAAGCACAGTTATATTGCTTGAAGCATTCTGGTTTTGCCACTGGCAAGTGACATATATTTTAATCATATATATTTTTATTTTTAAAGAACTTAATTAGTTTCATAAAAATAAGAACTCAAGATTAACATTTTCTGCAAGTACAGCATACATGCTACTTAAGTAAAATTGACAGTTTACAGATATTTATTAGTGATATTCCTGCTACCAGTATTCCGGGTCTCCCTCTGCCTTTGTTTCCCATTTATGGAACAAAGGCAGTACTATGGAGAGAAGTTTGAGGATATCACTAAAAGTAATTTGAGCTGTTAGAAGAATTGATTAATAAATATTTTCACTTAAAATGAGAAATGGTATCAATAACCTTTAAAAATTATTTTTGAAAATCATTATATTTGTTAAGACTACTGTTTTTAAAGTTATATTTAGAATATAAAGTGTCTTTGTAATATATATGTCAAAACTGTGTGTTCCTAACTCTGAAAGTCAATTTCATAATTTAAAAATGTGTGATATCAAATTCACCTCATTTTAATGTCATCACATATATTACTGTCCTTATTTTTGTATAACAAAGGGCAGTGCTACAAATCGATTGTGTCTTACTTAAGTGAGTGAACATTTCTGAATGACTTAATAACAAAGAAATACTTTGAGATTTGATCAGTTTTGCTTTATTTGTTGTTTCAGGCTTTTTGGCAGGAGTATCAATGATGTTTTATAAAAGTACAACAATTTCCATGTATTTAGCTTCCAAGTTGGTAGAGGTAAGCAAACATCTTGATGCATGCACAGCTCTAAAGGATGTAGAGCCTTCCATATCCCAGTTACAAGGGCTAGTCAATCCTATAAAAGTACTGACAAAGTCAGTTCTCCTGTTTCTTCTTCTTTCTTTATGTGTGTTATTTTCAAATATACACAAGTGTAGAAAGAATAAAGTAACTAATTCTCGTGTACCTATCATACAGTTTCAACAGTTAACATGTGACCAGTTTATTCTACCTGTACTGTCCCAACCCCACAAGTACTGAATTAATTTAAAGCAAATCCCAGACAACATATCACTTCTTCCATAAATAACTCAAGGTAAAGACTCCTTAAAGACTATGGCTAAAAGGATAAAGACTCCTTAAAAACAAATCAACACTACTACCAAAGTACAATCAAAATACTATTGTCACACATGTAAAAAACCTAGTAATTTAATATTATCATATATCCAATTAGAGCTTATATTCTCATATCTCACAGATATCTTCTGCAATCTGTTTTAATTGGGATCCAAAGTCTCTTTTAGTTTTTAATAGCTACCTCCTCCCCCTAACCCCCTTTCTTTTTTTCCTTGCCATTTATTTGTTGAAGATCTATGTTATTAGTTCTGGGAAATTTCCCACATTTTGGATTTTGCTAATTATATCCTTACTGGTGATACTAATATGTTTCTTTAACCCAAGTGTTTCCTATGAACTGTTTGTTAGATATAGAGGTTTAAGCAATTCAGTTTCAATTTTTAGGGGGTGGAGAAATACTTCACGTTTACTATGTGTATGAATTCCTATTGCATCACATTAGGAAGCACATTAGTTGTGTCTCTTTTTGTGATGCTAAGATTGATCATTGGGCTCTGTTAATACAACTAACATAAAGCTCCCCATTAGGCTTTCACTTAATTGTTGTGGCACCCATTATTAATCATTACCAGGGTTTATTATTTCATTGACAGTTGCAAAATGATATTATAACATTATTGTTTCTTCTAATTATTTACTTGTGCAGATTTTTTAAAATCTTTTTTTAATGTTTATTTTTGAGAGAGAGAGAGTCAGAGCATGAGCAGGGGAGGGGCAGGGAGAGAGGGAGACACAGAATCTGAAGCAGGCTCCAGGCTCTGAGCTGTCAGCACAGAACCTGATGCAGGGCTCGAACTCACAAACCATGACATTATGACCTAAGCTGAAGTTGGATGCTTAACCAACTGAGCCATCCAGGTGCCCCATGAGTTCTTTTAAAAAAAAACTTTTCCCTTTTCAACTGTTTGGTTACTCTGAAATAGTTTGATTTGTTCACAAAGTCATAATAAAATGCTTGATTACTTCCCTTTACTTACCAGTGTTCAGAATGAATTGGCCCCTAGCATTCTGCAAAACTGACTTATTTATGAGTCTTTATTTTTAAATGTCATTATGAAGATGTAAATTTTAGAATATTTGGTCTTGTTTCAACTCAGGAATTACACTATCTTTGACCATGAGAACCTCTTCGAGTTGACTTCTGTTTCTTTTTTATATAATGCCAATATCTCTGAAAACTTTCTTGCTTTGTGATAAAACAAAATGGTCCAGGCTCATTTTGGACATTTCCTGCCCTAGAAACAGAATCAGTCTTTTCTCCAATGACCCCTATTCTTTTGGTGGGAAATGGTATTTAGAGACTTCAATTTGGGTACTTGGGTACTTCTTGCTTCTAGGCTAGTTATTATTTTTTGGCCTTCCCAGTAAAAAGAGCTAGAGAATCCTTTTCCCCCCTTTCTTTTTAGAGAAAGAGAAAATAATGAGCATATTGATATTTCCAATTCAAAGTTAAGATTATAGATTTATTTGACTTCATTTTAGAAAAAATTTATCTCTTGGCACAAAAACAGACACTTAGGTCAATGGAACAGAATAGAGAACCCAGAAATGGACCCACAAACGTATGGCCAGCTAACCTTTGATAAAGTAGGAAAGAATATCCAATGGAATAAAGACAGTCTCTTCAGCAAGTGGTGCTGGGAAAACTGGACAGCGACATGCAGGGAAAACTGGACCACTTTCTTACACCATACACAAAAATAAACTCAAAATGGATGAAAGACCTAAATGCAAGGCAGGAAGTGAAACCATCAAAATCCTCAAGGAGAAAGCAGGCAAAAACCTCTTTGATCTTAGCCGCAGCAACTTCTTACTCAACACATCTCTGGAGGCAAGGGAAACCAAAGCAAAAATGAACTATTGGGAACTCATCAAAATAAAAAGCTCTGCACAGCAAAGGAAACAATCAGCAAAACTAAAAGCCAACTGATGGAATGGGAGAAGATATTTGCAAATGACATATCAGATAAAGGGTTAGTATCTAAAATCTATAAAGAACTTATCAAACTCAACACCCAAAAAATAAAGAATCCAGTGAAGAAATGGGCACAAGACCTGAACAGACACTTCTCCAAAGAAGACATCCAGATGGCCAACCGACACATGAAAAAATGCTCAACATCACTCATCATCAGGGAAATACAAATCAAGACCGCCATGAGATACCACCTCACACCTGTCAGAATGGCTAACATTAACAACTCAGGCAACAGCAGATGTTGGTGAGGATGTGGAGAAAGTTGCATTGTTGGTGGCAATGCAAGCTGGTGCAGCCACTCTGGAAAACAGTATGGAGGTTCTTCAAAAAATTAAAAATAGAACTACCCTATAACCCAGCAGTTGCACTACTAGGTATTTATCCAAGGGTTACAGGTATGCTGTTTCAAAGGGACACATGCACCCCCATGTTTATAGCAGCACTATCAACAATAGCCAAAGTATGGAAAGAGCCCAAATGTCCATCGATGGATGAATGGATAAAGAAGGTGTGGCATATGTATACAATGGAGTATTACTTGGCAATCAAAAAGGATGAAATCTTGCCCTTTGCAACTGTGTGCATGAAACTAGGGGATATTATGCTAAGTGGAATTAGTCAGAGAAAGACAAATATCGTATGACTTCACTCATGAAGACTTTAAGATACAAAACAGATGAACATAAGGGAAGGGAAACAAAAAGAATATAAAAAAAGGGAAGGAGATAAAACATAAGAGACTCTGAAATATGGAGAACAAACAGAGGGTTACTGGGGGGGTTGTGGGAGGGAGGATGGGCTAAATGGGTAAGGGGCATTAAGGAATCTACTCCTGAAATCATTGTTGCACTATATGCTAAATAATTTGGATGTAAATTAAAAAAATAAAACTAAAAAAATACAAATAAATAAAAATTTTAAACAAAGAGAAGAAAAATTTTATCTCACTGAAAATCTGTGGCCCTAATGATATTAAGAGGATTACATACTTGCTTTATTCAGGTGTGTCTGTGTCTGTGTGTGTGTGTAGGGAAGAGAGAGAAAGAGAGAGAGAGAGAGAGAATGTGAGTTTGATATTTTTCTCAGTGCAATTGGAAGTCATTGGAGAGTTTTAAGTGTGGAAATAGCATGATTTAATTCACATTTTAAGAAGAAGAAAACATTCTGGCTATTATATAAAGAATGGAATAGAGGCAAGACGAAGCTGGGAGAACAATTAGTCTCAGACAGATGATGGCTTGTGCCAGTATAGTAGCAGTAGGGATAGAGAGAAATACACAGACTTGGTATATGTTTAGGAGGTAAGGGTGGCAAGACTTGCTAATGGAGAGGAAAAGGAGTGTCAGAGAAAGAATATATCCCCTAGCTAGCAAAAATACATTCTTTGACACAGGGAGAATCCAATATTGAGATCTGGTTTGTAAAACCTGTATTTTATAGCTGCTTCCCTACATGACTAGAGTTTTTTAGGCCAAGCAATGACATAGCTCTTTTTTAACTTATTTTTAAATTTAAAAAATTTTTATTTTATTTTATTTTTATTTTAGTTTTGTTTTTATTTTTGAGAGAGAGTGCACACGAGCAAGGAAGGGGCAGAGGGAGCGGGAAAGAGAGAATCTTGAGCAGGCTCCATGCTGGGCTTGATGTCAGGACTGTGAGATCATGCCCTAAGCCAATATCAAGAGTCAGGTGCTTAACCAACTGAGCCACATAGGCACCTTGGCATAGCTCTTTTCTTATATCAACAGACCATGTTTGATCTTGGCAGAAGAAGCTACATATAAAATGCACTGATAAGAATTTATTTTTAATTTAGGAAATTACAAATGTAAGCTTACTAATAGGTCCTTTGTGGAATTAATGACTGTGGTGTAATAGGCAATCATTTTCCTATGATTGAAGTTAATTTTATATTAAAATTCTGCATTACTATATAATGAATATTAAATAAAAATCAGCTGACTAGATAACTTTTATCTTGGAAATAATTATTTCCAAGATGTATATATTGAATATCTATTATGTTCCCACTACTGTATGAAGTGCTGGTAAGCATATAGAACTATGGGATATGGTTCCCACCCTTCATTAACTTAGAATCTGGTTCAATAGATAAGGTTTATTATAAGAAATTAGGAACACAATTGTTACATATTTCAGGAGATACCTGTGTTATATAATGTGTCTATGATGCTATTCTACCACATCTGAATTTCATTTTTGTCAACATGAATACACTACAGTATACCTGTACCTTGTAATATACTGTATAGTATATTCAAAATAGTGGTGCATGAATATCTTCCTTCCTAAGTAGAGTGTAGCTTTTTGTACATATCTTCCAGATTGGGGAAAAATTATTTCATGTTCTTTAGTTCATGAACCACCCATGTCTTCTTGAACTTTCCTGCACCTGATTGTAACATCATTCTCTCTTGGTTCTTTCTTCTTTTCTTACTAGTTCTACTTGAGCTTTCCCATGTTTCAGAGAAACTATTGCCGTGAATAATTACATCTTCTATCCATATAAATTAGCTGGGCCTTCCCCATATGTATTGTGTACTTTCGCCCAGTTCATTACCCCTGCCTTTTCTGCTTTTTCTCTCTTAATCTCATTGTTAATCCTAGGCCTCTTAGGAGGCAGCACTGTTGGAAGGGTGGACAGCAGACTAGTGCCAGTCCATGACCTGTTTATTACCAGTTTATAGTAAGCATAGAAATAGAGAGTAAGCATTTGGAAACTTCTGTAGCAACTTGACAGAGTAATTTATTTTTTTAATACAAAAGTGAAATTTTGGTTCACTTTGTGTTTTTAAAATTGAGTTTTTAGTAATGTATTTTTATTGTATTATAAAAGTACCGAGCTATGGCAATTGGAAAAAAAATGTTTTGAAGTGTTGCTTCACTGCAGGTGGTTTGAGAAGCACTATTCAAATGTAGTCATTTCTGAAATTCTCCTTGTTCCTTTGTTCTAGGCAGAGCAGTTTGTTCCGTCCTTGGGTGGGGGGGCAAAAAATGCACACACACATACTAAACATATATATAGTTAAATATCTAAGTGCATTAGCTATTTCTCTTATGCACTAACTTAGATGTTATTGTATTCATTTTTAAATTCCTAGCTCCTAGCATAGTGTTAACAGCATTAGTTAACAGCATTAAATGTTGAATGAATGAATGAATGAATGAATGAATAAATGAGTGAATGACTAGATCTAGCAGGGAAGGGAGACCTGAGGATTATACAAAAAGCATTGAAGGGTGCCTGGGTGGCTCAGTCAGTGGGGCGTCTGTCTGACTCTTGATTTTGGCTCAGGTCCTGATCTCACGGTTCCTGAGATCGAGCCCCGTGTCGGGCTCTGTACTGACAGCACAGACCCTGCTTGGGATTATCTGTCTTTCCCCTCCCCTACTTGTGTGCACTCTATCTCAGAATAAGATAAACTTCTCAGAATAAGGCAAACTTCAAACAAACAAACAAACAAACAAACAAACATTGAGGTATAAATGATATAAAAGAAGTAGAAATACAATGTTACTATATTCACAGAGAAGCATTATTACTGGTATCTCGGTTTGGGGTGAGGGAATGAGGGAAGGAAAAGGCTGACACTTAACTAATGTCATGGAAGATGCAACCTGCAATTTGAGCTCAGAAAGGATTATTAGGTTTGGAAGGTAGACAAAATAGTTGTAGATAGCAAGTGAGTCTATTGCTCCACTCTATTGTTAATGCTATTTAAAGTTGTGGGTTTATTTCTAAATCTTACATTATGTTTGTTCTACAGACAATGTATTTCAAAGGCATTGAAGCAGGAAAGGTTCCCTATTTTCCCCATGCAGATACTATCATCTATTCCATCTCTACAGCAATTTGCTTCCAGGCAGTAAGTATAGCTTTTTGATATGAGAAATGAATTATTTCTTTACATTAAATCAGTGGGGGGGTGGGGGTAGGCAATAAAGACCTGGGAAAATTTCTATGGATTAGATTTTATTTTTTATTTTTATTTTTTTACCAAGAGAGCTTGCAAGTTTCAAATCAGTAAACATGCTAACTTAATGGGCTAGATCATTTTTAAAATTTTCTGAACACAATAATTTTTAGGTTTAAATTGAGTGCAATTTATAGGCAAATTATTACACTAGTACCTTGGCTAGAATGCCTATTTTAGTTATACTTCTACTAGAAGACAGATACCATGAGCATAAATAAGAATAATTGCATTTCCCCCATATTACTCAGGCAGTGAGGATAGAGGTAGGATCTAGTCTATTAGAAGCATTGTTCAATTTCTTTAAATTATGTAATCACCATTATTGATGTTAGTGGTTTCAGGACTGTTGCAAAATTCGGGGGGACCACTTTTATTTGCACTTTTTCAGAGTAATGCTGCCAAGTGTATAAACTTATTATAACTAAGGAAGTGTCAGCTATCTAATGAATATTCAGTAAATGCTTTCCTGATAATAATGAGTTAACTCAACTATTATTTCATAAGCAATATTCTTGATAGTTGTCAAGTTAAACATAAATACATATTTTCGTTATTATCATCACTGTTCTTTTTAAAATACAATGAGCAATAAAAATAAAAAAGTGCTCTGTTGCCTAATATGACTAATTATATTTGCTCTTTACTGAAGAAGTCTCAAATTGAATACTCTAATCTTAGGCTGTGATGGAAGTTCAGACTTTGCGACCATCTTACTGGAAGTTTCTTTTAAGACTCACCAAGGGCAAGTAAGTGACTGAGATGTTGTACCTGACCATAGAAAAAAAAGCATTTTCCCCCGAAAAAGATTTTGAATCTTTTCATCTTTTTGAGGGAATATTCTTCCAGTGATAAAGTAAGCATCTACATGTAAATCAAATATGTCCAACTTAATATGTATAACATGGGGTATTCTTTTGGTAACATTATTTTGACTTTTCTTTTCCCTGTATTATTTTAGATATTTTAAATGTTGTGGGAAAATACTGTATTGATTTGAAAATTGCTAATTAGTTGCTACATAACACACTTAAGTCTCACTTTTATAATCTTTGATCTCTTCTTTTTGATTAGAAATACTCAGCAGATTCATTAGAAATCATTCCTAAATAATCGAATGATTTCCAGTGGGAGAAAAATAATCATATTCTTTTGCTTGATTCTGTAAGAATACTTTTCCTTTGCCTTTATTATCATGTTCTTTATTGTTTTAGTTAGCATTTTCTGATCTTGATCTAGTTCTTTGGGAGGCAGCTTGACCTACTAGAGAGACCATGGACTCTGTTTGACTCTGGCTCTGATAACTTTAGCTGTGTTATTGGTGGAAAGTTTTTTTACCTCATGAGCCTCAGTTTCTCACTCTCTACTATGAAACAGTAATACATTCTTTGTATGGTTGTGTAATAGCACTTAATAAATTGTAGCTGTTATTATTATCACTTGTAGTTTTAATAGCCAGCAGTTGTATAGTATTGTACTGTGTCCCAGACATACACATACAACACGTGTACACATGCATATGTGTTTAATCCTTAAAATGGCTCTATGAGATGAGTACTATTAATATCCTGGTTTTATATTTGAGTCAACTGAGGTGCACAGAGAGGTCAGCTAGCTCGCCAGAGTCACACAGCTAGCAAATAAAAGAGCTGTGGGCTGTGAGCCAGGCAGTCTGGCTTTAGCATTCTTCCTCTTAGCCATGAGACTGCATCCTTTATATTATTATTATTAATCATTTATTTCTTTGTCATTTAGATTTTTGCCCATTAAGGAGTTTAAGCAGTTGATTATTTTGGGAGGGAACTTAACTTTGGAAAGGCACCGAAAGTTACGTTTATCGTTCCTGGAATAGTGATGGTGGCCATTGGCTCAAAATTAACCCTGTTGTCTTCTCCCCAGAAGAAGTGCTTGGGATCAGGCATAGAGATATGGGTTCATCCTGAACATTAGCTAAATATATGTCCTTAAAAATTGTTTTCACTTAGCATAATACCCTCCAGTTCCATCCATGTAGTTGGAAATGGCAAGATTTTATTCTTTTTGAGTGGCGAGTAATACTCCATTGTGTGTGTGTGTGTGTGTGTGTGTGTGTGTGTGTGTGTGTGTATGACATCTTCTTTATCCATTCATCCATTGATGGACATTTGGGCTCTTTCCATACTTTGCCTATTGTTGATAGTGCTGCTATAAACATGGGGGTGCATGTGTCCCTTTGAAACAGCACACGTGTATCCCGTGGATAAATGCCTAGTAGTGCAATTGCTGTGTCTTACGGTGGTTCTATTTTTAGTTTTTTGAGGAACCTCCATACTGTTTTCCAGAGGGGCTGCACCAGCTTGCATTCCCAACCAACAATGCAAAAGAGATCCTCTTTCTCTGCATCTGTTTAAGAGACAAAACAGATGAACACAAGGGAAGGGAAGCAAAAAGAATATAGAAACAGGGAGGGGGACAAAACAGAAGAGGCTCATAAATATGGAGAACAAACTGAGGGTTGCTGGAGGGGTTGTGGGAGGGGGGATAGGCTAAATGGGTAAGGGGCATTAAGGAGTCTACTCCTGAAATCGTTTCACTATATGCTACCTAATTTGGATGTAAATTTTAAAAAATAAAAAATAAAAGTAAAAGTAAAAAAAATTATTTTACCTTTTAAATTAAGTGATGGATAAAATGAGGGTATGCTTTTACTTCATCATGTCTATTAGAAATTTAAAAACCTATATGCTGTTTTCCCTTTAATTGTTAAATACTTACACATTCGGATGTATTTTCTGTGGATTGTGAGACATCAAAATGTCAATTATGAAAGAAATTACATTCAGTACCTTTGCCTCATTGGCAAATATTAAGCTCTTTTATTGTTGATATCCTGTGATTTCATTCATCAGAAAAATTGTCATGTATCTGTTTTTCTGTTTGACGCAATCTGGTGGAAAGAACTTGAGAGGGGTTTGAAATAACAATGGTGGTTTCTGGGGTTTCGGGTCTAGGGATTCTGATCTCTTTAAACAAAATATGAGACAGTGAATCTTGAGGTAGAGTACCAAAGTGACTCTGCCACTTTGAATCTGCCATTGAGTTCTTCATCACGTCAATCTTTTCTGTTTTCCCACTCCATGAAAGATAGGTCAAGTGAATCATCTTATTTTATAAACTTCATTAAATACTTGTTCACTGTGTCCTCTGTTTTGCAGATTTGCTGTCATGAACCGAAAAGTCCTTGATGTTTTTGGTACTGGTGCATCTAAACACTTTCAGGATTTTATCCCTAGGTTGGATCCAAGATATACAACTGTAACACCAGAGTTGCCCATCGAGTTTTCTTGAAGATGACTGTAATTTATTAATGTGACTTAATGTTTCATTATTTTATCCTGAAGAGTTAACTATGTTGAAACACAAAGAAGGAGTCTTGAGCTTGAACTTCAGTGTTATTTCAATGAGAGATACTCTTTTCTTGTTAGTTTTTCTTACCAGTCAGAAGTACAGAAGCTTTTTAGGAAGGTGTTGCTTAATAATTAAGCGCCCTCTGTAGCCAGAATCTGATTCTGGGTCACTTGTAGTGGTTGACATTATGATATATTATTGATTAAATTATGTCTACAAGCAATCTTAAATAATCTACGTAGAAATGTAGTAACAAATAAGAGTATACTTAAAATTACTTTAAAAGATGTTTTTAGTTCATTCCAGTATAATTCTTGGTTAAAACTAAGAATATTTCTATGTTTTAGGATACAAAGGATCACGGGTACATGGATTTGGTCTGTGTTTTTTTTTTAACTTTTGAATTGGTAACTATAGTAGTGAAATATTATGGAACTGAAGTAACTCTTCCCAGACAATGCTGCTTTAGTGTGAAGAAATTTAATTGAAGAAAGTGGCCATTCTCACTTCAGGGATGCGAAGACGGGTCTTGTGCTGTTCGGATAAATGCCGTTGTATCCATGCTCCCCTTCCACTGATACCTTCATCTCTCTTCATGGTCAGTCGGGCTGTCTGGCATCCCAGTGAGCCTATGTACTAATGGCAGGTTAGGAGCAAATGGAATTTGACATATCTGATAAAGCTGAAATGTATGTTTTAATCTTTTACAGAAGCATTACACTTGAATATTTAAAAGCAAATGAAGTTGCTTTTAAACTTCGTGAAGGTGTACGGTGTTTGTTTGCATTTATAAGGACTGAATTCTTCATAGCTCGGTTTGTCTGCCATCGCTGACTTAGAAGGGATCAAAAGTAGTTTGGGCAAATTTGTCAGTTTGTTCCCTCTCCACCATCCCACCTTTACAGTGGATATTTTACAGCTACAAACAATATAAAAATCCAGTAGTTGTTAAAAAGTCCATTTCATCACTATGGGATTCAGGTTCTCCAGCCTCTTTTCAAAAACTTACTGTTTTTATTCCTGTTAGAACAAACAAGTGACAAAATGTAGTAAGTGTTGATTATGAGTTAGTTCGGGACAGCTCTGATTGAAATATGATTACTCTTCAGAGTTTTTCAGGGAAAAGTCATACTTTTCTAACTTAATAAAAGGCTTAAGTGGTTATGATGTCTATAGTTAATGCAACATATAGGGATAATGGTATATTTTTTTAATATCATTTTGTTGCTGAAAAGTTTTGGGCCGTTGTAAATTAATTATGCAGTAGAACTTGTGTTGCAACAAGAATTATAACCCAGACTTTTAAAATGCTTAATCTGCCATATTCAATTTCACCAAGCCCTGTATATTTCTGTTCACGTGTAATCCTGTCCTCAGTTGTTATGGCAAATTGAAACCCAACAAAAAGACAGACTCTGATACTGTGGTAACAGAGCCACTTTAATGAGGTCAAAATTTTGCATTGTGATTAATTTTTTAGAATTGACTTGTCTATTAGGCAATACTGTTAAGGAATCATTTTGGTTTCAGACTTCAAAATTGCTTAATAAGTTTTCAGTTTTTATTCCTGGAATCAAAATGATGATTGGTACTGTGTTTAATTTTAAAAATGAAGTATTATAGCAGTGAAGAAAGCACTGCTTCCTGTACCTCATTTTCTTTATTTAGAAATTATGTTTATAATATTTTTCCTGTCAGTTTAAAAGAAAAACATTTTAATTCATACGTTGCTGTTTTCATGAACATTAAAAAGGCTATGATGTTGAAAGGCAAATCCTACTGAAATTGGATGAGATTGTTTAGTAAAATCTTACTGTCAAAAGGTGCATTTCTATGATTTCCTTTTTTTTCAAGCTATAGTCATTTTTTAATATAAAATGTAAAATGAAATAACCGTCATGAAGCAGAACATGATAATGAATGTATAGCTTTAGTGAATAATTAATGAATTTTCAGGGGTGAAAAGAGAAATCCAATTTGATTTCATTGAGGCAGACTGCACAGTGTAGCTGTTTGAGAAAACAGACACTGTGTCTGTGCTCCTGAAGACAATCAAAATGATATCTCTCTACCTCTAACCAATCAGGTATCAATAAACCATGTGACACCATAAATAAAGTCAAATAGATGGTTTTTTTAGTCCATTTATACACTAAGGAAATTGTGCCTATGTTAAGTTTCCACCAGAACTGGTTACAGCGAACATTAATGTGTAGACTGCAAAACAGTGCATCGGCGTATTTGTAGTAGTGTGGTTGTTTCACTGCTATTTCCTGTGTCATAAAATCCTAGGGTTTGTACCAACCCAGTAAAGACTGAGGTTGCAAGATAACAAATTGTCTCCGATTTGTTCAAGCCTTGCCAATGTTTCGTCAGATAGTTTTAGACCATTTTATTACTCATTTCTGGAATAAAACCTTTGGTTCGGTTATGCCGTTTCATAAATTCTGTGGTCACTTTGGTAACTTTTTTCTTGGTCTGTGCACATGGTTGTCACTTGGCTGATATGTAGTTTATTGTTGGTACTCATCTGAAGTTTAGTCAGTTGTTACTTTATTTAGAATTGTATCTTTTTATTCTTTGCTCTCCGATTTTATAATTTGCTTTTTTCTATATTGAACATGTCTTGTGTGATTAAACCCAAATTGGTCAGCTGTCCTAGTATTTTCTTTGTTGAGCTTGAGCATTCGTCTCCTTGTGGACTGTGCTCAGGCTGACATTTGATTTAGTTGTTAATACTGACAAAATTGTATTCTGCTTGTATGGTATCACAGTCCCAAGTTTCTGAGTCCCCTGCCAGTGTATAGTTAATGAAAATCGATTTCCTTTTCCCACAAAGAGCTTCGTCCATTGTCTTAGGTCACATCCCCCTCACTGTGGTGATCAAGAAGCCTCTCAGCAGTGCCAGAGGGGCGGGCCCACTGGGACCATTGGCCTGGTGTTCTTACTGCCTTGAATCAGAGACGCCGCCACGCCCTTATAGTCCTTGAATTCTTTCTGTGATTTATCTGTACTGTAAAGACAGAAAGTAGATCTACAGAAGGTGAGTCAGTCAGTTAAGTGTCCAACTCTTGGTTTCAGTTCAGGTCATGATCTCACGGTTTTGTGAGTTAAGCCCCGCATCAGGGGCTGCCAGTGCAGAGCCTGACCCTCTGTGTGTGTGTGTGTCTCTCTCTCTATCTCTGCCCGTTCCATGTCCGTACTGTCTCTGTCTCAAATAAATAAATAAACTTTCAAAAAGGTAGTTTGACAGAGCAACAAGATCATTCTTACATGGATGGTTTTTTTTACAAAAGTATTCGTTTCTGAATTGTTAAGATATCTGAAAAACGTCATCTTCCCTAACACCTTCACTTGTTGCTGCTTATCAGCCTGGTATTCAGTTTCATGGGGTGAACTTGGATAACTGAAAATGAACGACCAAGAAAAACATACAGGAAAAAGAGTAAGAAATGAGTGTTTCCTTTAGGGCTGGGTTGAAACTGTGATGAATAATAAATAAGATTAGTTATTTGTGGATGCCCAGGAGACTGTTCTTATAGTTGCCTCAAGCCTGCACCCTCCTTTTCACAGCTCCTTTCCTGTCGGTGCCTTAGCTAGCTCTGCACTTCTTTCTTGTCGAATTGGTGAGGAAGGGGGTGTCTGGGACTGAGATCAGGGGTGTGGACATAGATCCCGGGGTTATGATTCTTCCCTCAAGCCTGTGATATGGGGACCCCAGGACTGAGGCTGTGCTTCTGTTTCATCTGTAGCCTCAGGTGACTTTGCTATTGCACTATGGTTGTGAAAAGGGTAACGACAAAGACATGAGACTGACACTGGTGTGTGATTTCTGGAAGTGGAGAAGGGGCAGGAACTTGGCCATGATGTACCAGCCCTGGGAGTGCAGCAGGGCAGTGCATAGCCTTAAGCTTCCAGCTGTGGGGAATAAGATGTGTGCTACTTTACATGAGGGAAAAATGAGTGACTTAACTGGGAGAAAGAGTTAATATCTGGTAATGCTCTCTTACTCTGTGACGTGGCCTCTCTCTCCTTCACCTCTGCCCCAGCTCTCTCCTCTCTCCTCCTTCCCAGCCTTGGAATCTTTCTGGCTGACCTTGTGTTGCCCGCCCCCCCCCCCACCCCCACCCCGCTCATCCCCAAGCCTCTTGCCTTTTTTCTGCCAACTGGTGTTACATTCCACTATCTCCTTGAATGTGAACACTCTCTTGCTCCCTTTGGTGGCAGCTGGGAAGGTGGGGAGGCTGTAATGGGATCATAAAAATGGAATAACCATTTTCAGGGACAGTGACTTTTGATATAGCTCTGCATTTCTTGGGCAGAACGTATGGAGGATAATTGTACATGTGTGGAAAGAGGTGCTTCTTTGAATGTGGGGCCTTTAAATTCAAGACAGTCCTTGTGTTCTCAACAACCCTGTGACATCACCTGACTTGCTGTGGCTACATGGAAGAAGCAAGAATTTATTTCCTATTTCCTATTGCTTTCTCCATTTTCTTTCCACCTCTCATTCCTCCAGATGTGTCCTAAGTGAAATCATGTATTGGGCTTTATCCTTTGTCCTTGCAAACCTGCAAATCCTTGTAATAGCGCGCGCGCACACACACACACACACACACACACACACCACACCACACCACACATACACACTTCATCTGGTCCACAGCAGAGGCATCAGGATGTCAGGTGCAATTTGTACTTTTTCTCCAGTTCACAAGCCCCTGCACTTTGCCTGTTCAGTTTTTTGTTCAGTTTAGTGCCCACCTCCCCTGCCCCCACCCTAAAGCATAACATTCTAATCTTGTAAGAAAACCCCAAGCTGTGGGTAATAGGATGTTTCCTGGTCTTGGCACACAACATACAAGTGTCAGCAGCTCTGTGTGGCTGGGGAGATCCAGCCTTCCACAAGTGGACCTGTGGGCCTATAATGGCTGAAATCATCCAGGAGTATTACTTTCCTCTGTCCCTTAATTTGGACCAGGCAGTTTCTGGTGCCTGCTTCCCCAGTGTCTGTTAAACTTGACTCAGTCATCAGTCAACCCCTCAAGTGAATTTTCTTTTCAGATTGTTTTGGTCACACAAGAGGATGCTGTGGTTACTGGGATGGATTGGTGCCAAAGGCCCATAAAAGTTTAAAGCATGAAGTATTCCTGTCATTGGTCATTATGGGGTGGGGTGCCAAAAGGAGTGGGTGAGAGGAAAATGCACACATACGTTTCAGTCTCCCCTCTTCCCTATTTCTTACCTTCCAAGCACTGTGCTGTCCTACCACATCTTTGACATTTATTTCTTCAGTTTGAGTTCTCTAGAAGGAAAAAGAAAGTTCTTATTTTCCTTTTTGTTTCTGAGAGAACTGAAGGTGAGACTTAAGCATCGGTCAAAGAAGAGCCTGCAGGAATATTGTGGAATGTGTTAGAAAAAGAGATAGCTTTTCTTCCTCTCCTCTCCCCTCAGAAGTGAGTCAGAGAGGGATTCATTCAAAATGGGAATATCTAGAGTCATATTCCAGTGACACATGAGACAGGTGTATACTACCAGACTTGGCACAGTGAAGAGACACAGTCTATGAAAGAGAAGGAATGGGGATTTTTCTCTGAATTATTAGTGTAGGGGCCATGTCTGCAAGCATTTTATATATATGTGTGTGTGTGAGTGTGTGTAGGTATATACATATATATATGTGTATATGTATATGTATATGTATATGTATATGTATATGTATATGTATATGTATATATGTATATACATATATACATGTGTATGAACCTGACTGGAGGCCAGTGGTCAAACTAGGTATTGACTAACAAGGTGCTTTGCTTCCTCAAAGTATTCAATGTTGGTGGCATGACTTGATTGAATGGCCTTGTAATGCTTAAGACTGACAGCAGTTGTTTCCACAGTAATTTGAAAATGTGTTCAATGTATTAAGAGAGGTTTTATATGAATAAAGTTTTAAAATTCCTCCTTTTGAACTGTAATTTGTGTGTTAGGTAAAATCTGCAAAACTACAGGAAGAAATTCAGTTGCATCTAAATCTGAGTCTGCAGATTTTAAAACATATCATTCTCAGGAATTTGGGTTTCCTTAAGACCTTAAGTAGGCAGGGGGCACCTGGGTAGCTCATTTGGTTAAGCATGGGACTTCCCCTCAGGTCATGATTTCACAGTTCATGGGTTCAAGCCCCGCATCAGGCTCTGTGCTGACAGCTCAGAGCCTGGAGCCTGCTTCAGATTCTTTGTCTCCCTCTCTTTCTGTCCCTCTCCTATTCACACGCTGTCTCTGTCTCTGTCAAAAGTGAATAAACATAGGGGTGCCTGAGTGGCTCAGTCAGTTGAGCATCCAAACTGCAGCTCACGTCATGATCTCACAGTTCGTAAGTTCAAGCCCTACATCAGGTTTTGTGCTGACAGCTCAGAGCCTGGAGCCTGGAGCCTACTTTGGATTCTGTCTCCCTCTCTGCCCCTCTCCCACCTACTCACTCTCTGTCTCTCTCAAAAATAGATAGACATTAAAATTTTTTTTAATGAATAAACATAAAAAATAAAAAAGACCTAAAGAGGCAGGATGGATAAATCTACAAAACTAGAGGTATAAATAAATCATATGGGCATTTTTATTCCCCCACTAGAACTCCTCATATAACTCGAATTAAATTTCAAAAATGGATTGCAAGCCGTCGCTAATTGCTCACCTAGTGGCTGTTTAATCCTTCTTCCTTGCTGATGGAGCACTGATTTTAAGACAGCAGTATGCCCAGCTGAGGTGATGGATCATGCTTTTTCTAGGTGTTTCATATGTCACTCCTTTCTTCTTGTCCAGATATTTTTCCTTCCTTTTTGCTGAAGCTGCTCATGTGATCCAGTTTGGGCCAGTAAGATGTAATGGGAAATCTGGGAAGCTCTTGGGAAAATTTTCCCTCCCTGATTAAAGGACAGCTTTTTTAGCTCTCCTTTTTCTCTGGTTCAGAAAACTAGTTAATGAGATATGGATCTGTGGCAACAACCTTGCAGATAACGAGGTGAAGAGTACAAAGATGAAAAACCATTATGTTAAAGATGTCAGAGCAGAAAAATGGAAGGAACCTGCCTCCCAGATGACATTCTTCTGCCACTGAACCAACGCCAGTAACCACATAACTCTGAGAATTGAGAAAACAAACCTCCATCACTTAAGGCTCTCTTAGTCAAGGATTCTGTTATGTCCAGCTAAAAACATTTCTCATCGACACATTCCAATCCTATATAGATCAGACCTCAGATTCACTTCCCATTGTATACTCTCCTCCCTTGATTTAGAATGTGCTCTGCTTTCCTCCCCTCCTCCACTTCTGCATGTGTCCTGAAATATTCGGTCACCTCTTGGAAGGTTTTGCTGATCGTTTATCTCTGTCTTCCTGAAGCAGTTTGCTAATTCTTCCCACAAAGCCCATTCCATTTGAGTCTCATTAGCTGTGTGCTCACCTGTTGCTCCTTTACAAGATCGTGTGTATATGTGAAGGGCAAAGATCACAGCTTATCCCCTCATGTCTGTGCCTAAACCAGGCCTTTGTATTGAGGGGTGGGGTGGAGTGTTAGGGTGGGAAGTGGTGGTCTCAGCAACCGAATACATGCTAACTTTGTGGAGTCTGCAGACTGAAAAC